TCTCTTCTCTCTCTACTAGTTTGTATAATAAGTATACTCTCTCTCTCTCTAACAGTATCTCACTCTCAGAAGTTGTGAGCCTCTCTCTCTCTCTAAGAGTTTCTCACTTTAAGAGGTTGAGTTTTTCCCAAGGAAAAACAAGGTTGACCCAACCTAGTTTTCACGTGTGTTTGTTGTGACATTCAAGCTTCAAGTCACGATCTAGCCTGACCTAATCTATCAACAGGTACGTACTTAGTTGAAAACTATGTTCTAGAAGTTTACTACCAGTGTTTTATTTTTTTATTTTTTATTTTTTTAATTTTTAAGTTCTTTTGAATATTCAGTGTTCTATGTTTTACAACCCGGATCGACCGGTTAAACAAGCCACTAACAATTTCAGTTCGAAAAGGGGCTGGGGTTGTAGTGGTAATACCCCAAATCATAGTCTTCTTGGTTTCTATTCCCACCATTAACACCACACCACTAATATCATAAAAACAGCTTACTCCTAATCAACTTGAAAAAAATGTGTATGACCTGTCTTTCCCCACTAAATTACCCAAAAAAAAAAAAAGCAGTCATAGTTATGATTGGCAAGATCGAATATACAATTCAGTAGATACAATTCAGTGAGAATCGGGCAAAATATAATTAAGAAAAATAAAAGAATTGAAGTTGGTGGGAAATCGTACGACTCTAGGGCTGTGTACACCCGGATCGCCCACCCACCAATCTTGGTCGAACTGAGGGATTCCGATTCGCGTGTATTTAAGTTAAAACACTGGTTACTACCCTGAACGAATAGGAGAGCGATTCATGGTAACATTGCATATCCATTATTTCCCCAAAAAAGCTCTGGACCCAGTGAATTTGGAAGGATTTTGATTGATAATAGAGTGGGGACGAGAATTATTATCAATTTTCACATATAACGGTTTAACAGGCGATATTTGGAAAAACATCAGATATAATGAACTTCATTGAAAAAGAAAATGTTGATATTTTTTTTTTTAGCAATTTTATACATTCATGAAATAATGAGTTCATAATGAATACAGTGGATGATTTTCTTAAAGAATGCATACAACAGGATATCAATTTCCTGCTTGTTTCAAATACCAAAATAGCAATGTATCAGCTATCACAGGATATATTACAGGCGATATAAACTTCAAAGGCGTCAAACTCGAACATGTCAGGTTATTTTGACTGTGTAAAGCAAGTAATATTGCATAAATTTTTTAAAATTTTTAACAGAAGTATTACAGGGAACGTACACAATGAGTGCACTAATTTTTAGAGCAGTATTTCATCACCTTCCTAAGTGAAATTTGATAGCTTGGGTTGTCGTTCCTCTGCTCAACGTGCGTCAAAATTCAATGAATTTCAAATAGAGAAATGACTTCTTCAATCTTTCCATTGTCATATCTGCTTGGGAACCTTAGAAAGTCTAACTTAAAAATTTAATGCATTCATTTTACAGTTTCAGTATTGAACTACATTGGCAAGTAGCAAACATTTTTCAAGAATACATTGAAAAGAATCACGGTTAACAAGGTAAAGATTACTGTGCACCATAAGATTTATATATAATATATATTTATGGAAAAGTATACAATGAAACCATTTATCTTTCGTATAAAGTGGTCACAATTAATCTTCACCATTGGATGTGAAATTATTTGTCTACATTTATTCCATTGACCAAGCTCAAACTTCAAAAGAAATTACCACAAACTTTGTGATACACCCGTGCTATTAGATTTTATCAAAGATAAATGGTCTTATTGTATACAATCCTTTGATATATATATATATATATATACCTTCTTTTAGAAAGGCATCGTGTCAAATGAGCACACTAAATTTTTATAATAGTCTTTTTACACCATCCCAAGCCATTAGATGTGGAATTTGATAGCTGCATTGTGTTGTTTCTCTGGTCAAAGTTCATCAAAAACTTGGTAGACTTGAGGGGATACACCCCAGCCATCAATTTTGCTATCTCCTTCAAATGGTGTGAAAGACTGAGATTGTTTGAATGATGCAATATGCTCATTATATACTGGCCGAATATTAAAATGCAGTAACAAGTAACAATATTTCTCAATTATAAGAAAACAATCCTCTTTTAATAAGATAAAAAAATATCATAAGACATGAGGGTAAAGTATGTATACCGTATTGATCGTTCGTATACAATTAGTGCACACCAGCGATCATATATCGACTATACTACATTTTCAAAAGAAATATATATATATTTACCTTCATAGGCCATTTTATGTAAAATTTGACAACTAAATGTGTCATTCCATTGCTCGAAGTCCCACGAAATTTATGTGGGCTTTGAGCAGAGGGAACATACCCCAAATTCCATCTGATAACATCATGGTAAGGTGTAACGAACTACATAAAAAACACAATGAACTTACGTTACACTATTAACAAAACATTTGCAAATAACAATGTTTTTTCAAGTAAAAAGCGAAGGCAACCCTCTTTTGAATAGCATATACTCGTTTCAACAACATTTTAAATAACATGCCATGAGGATAGTATATATACTGTGTACCATTGGGGAAGCCATCACGTTTGATGTGGTGATATCCAAAATCACCCATATAAGAAATCTTATATTATGTGGGGTTGATATTGACATTTAATACTGATAAGTTTTCTAAATTAGTTAGAATACCCATTAAAATCCAACTAAATTAGGACAGTTGATTGCATCTTAAGTTTGACATCTATAAGATTAACCTTATATATGTAGCATCTATATGATTTCTATCTAGTATGGGATTCATAATCTTATATGTACATATGTAATGAGAGAAAAAAGAATATGCATTCTTTGTTTTGGTCACCATATGGAAAATATAGCTTCCTCTAAAGAGAGAGGTAAGGGCATAAGAGGCAAGGCCCTCATATAGAAAAAAGTGAGCTTCCTATAGAGAGGCATGATGTAATGGTACCTTATGAAGAGTGCGAGATTGGTTTCTAGCGGAGAAGTAGATCCCATAGAGATTTTGGGTGGTTTCACTTTTTAGTAGGAAAAAGTCTTGGTTGCTCTCAAAGTTTTCTTCTTAGATAGGAGTATGAGATAGAGATGGGAAATTAGTAGGTGATGTTGGTCGGTAGGGCTGGTGTAAAAGGTTTGCTTGACTAGGTTTTGCTTAGGGTTAAAAAGGTAACTCTATGTCCCAAAATCTGCAATGTTAACTTTCTACAGTAGATTTTAGTTTGTCATGCCTGAGGATGTAGTCCTTTTTGGGTAAACGCATAAATCTTTGTGCTCTTGTGTTATGTTTTATTCCTCGTAGTATGGTTTATATTCTCGGTAATTTTGTTGCTAGCCAGTTAACTACTTCGCATATAAGAAATTCTAGAATCCCGGCATACCCTCAATTTCAATCATGACATATTGTTAATCTCAACTATTTGTCACCAATGGTGAACGGAAGATAGTACTATGGTGTACCATATGACATACACCAATG